ATACTACATACCTATGTACCAGTAAATGCCCTTGGAAATTAAAATGACACAAAGAAGGTACCCACTTGAGTACTAAAATATACCCTAAAAATAGTACATATTTGGTCACAAAAATTATATATACCAATATTGTGATCATTTTGAAATTCAAGATCCAAAATATCTTTGCAGAAGTTGTTTTTTAAGTAATTACGCAACACTAATAAAATAAATATACACAGTACAGAATGTCTAATTATATAACCTTGCCTCTGTCCAAATAAGATTTTTGTTAAATTTGGTTCTAACACAGGCAAGACTGTAAGAAGTAGGCTCCTACAGTCTTGAACTCTTTATAAACCAGCCAAAGTTTGTGGTCTTGGGGAGAGGAAGGGAGGGGGGGGGGGGCAGTTTAGACAAGATTACACTTCACTACCATCAATAGCCATTTAACACTGAGTAACTTAGATTGTCACTCTAGTGAAATACCTGCTTTTCAACAAAATGATTTCAACATAACACGTAATATGAAATATGATAAAGCATAAATATACAAATCATCCTACAATACAATAGTACAATAAGAAGCTCTGCCCCAATATCTATATACATCAAAGAGAAAGTGAGACCTACATGTAGCTGGCATTGGTATTCTGGGTTACAGTCCAGAAAGGGAATATAAAAGGTTTGTATAACATGTATACGTGCCTACAGTTGTACAGGCTGCTGCTGCATACATGTATACCATTAGTAGTATAAATGTGAATTGTTTAATATCTTCGTCAGTTGATGTAAGTTTTTCCAAAGATAGTGTCAATTAATTAGTTCATTTCTATACAATAAGTATATACATGTAATAACATTTTTTTCTAATTATACATACTCATCACTGATTTAAATCACATTACTTGGTTGTTAAGAAGAAAAGCTTAATATGACTATTCCATTTAAAGATCAACATAGGTATAAATCAGTTTGACTATAACCCAATTACACCTTTTGGTTGTAACTTGTTGTTTTGCCTATAAAATAGCAATGTATTAAAAACAGAATACAAGAAATATTTGTTTTCTGCTAACCATATAGTCTGTCTTCTGATTAGGCGACTGAAAGCTTAAAATGATTAACATGCAAAACTAAGGAGCAAGGAGAAAGATCTATACATTACCTTCTGAGAAATAGGAATAACAAACTTGAACCATCAAATTAAAGATGTCTGTTTGTTGGCCATCTTTTATTTTCCCAATTAAGTTGAAAATGAAACATACATAACTAAAAAAAACAATTAAGAGAAGCCTAGTTGGGAATTCAAGATTACTTTGATATTTTTTTCAGAAACAGTGATAACCAACTTTATCTAAGATTGCCGTCTGCAGATTGCCAAGTACTTTCCAATCGGTTTCAAAGTGAAACATGCACATTAGGGGCCAAAGGGAATCTAGATACATATATAGGATGTATTAAATATGAGAAACAGCACTTCTGGAGAAATATATAATGATAACAAACTAAACAAGAGGCCCATAGGCCTTAACGGTCACCTGATATATTTATACAGAGAGTTGATTTTGTTTTTAACATGTACAGAAATATTATTCAAAGTGACAAAAAAACAATAAAACCACCTTACTCAATATCTAGCATACAGATTTCAGACTAAAAAGGATTTGAAACTAGCACCTCTGATTCTTAACAAGGAAAATGAAGAAATTTTAGCACACTGACTCCTTTGAGCCCCACCCTACAGCCCTTGGGGGTAGGGCTGGCTCAAAATTTTCAAAGTATCAAACTGTCAATTCAAGGTTATAATTCCAATCAAGTTATTAACATGTAATATTCAAAGTATCATTTGCCATTATAAACCATAATAAATTTTGCTGGGTCTTGAGAATTTTTTTGAAATTTCAGTAAATTCGACCCTTTTTGGCCCCGCCCCTCAGGCCCCTGGGGGCTTAGGACTAAACCGGCAACTATTTTTGGTGACCTTTGTCCATGGAAGGTCCCTGCAAAATTTCATTGAAATTGGTTCAGGGGTTTTGGAGAAGAAGTTGAAAATGTAAATTGTTTACGGACGCACGACGGACGACGGATGACGGGCGACGACGGACAAAAGGCGCTCGCAATAGGTCACTTGAGACTTTGTCTCAGGTGACCTAATAAAGTTGAACTGTCAAAATCCAAAATGTCTCCCTGGCAGCTGTCATGTTTTTTCAATCAACTTCCAAATGAGCCAGGCACAACCAATTATAAGGACCAAGGGTAACCTTCATTATTATGAAATTTATAAAAGATCTGTCAAGCACATTTCGAGAAACAGAATATATAACAACAACAATCCTAAACTCTCGATATCCAAGAAGGATACCCAACAGCTACCTTATTTTTCCACTGTTTAGCACAACTATGGACCTTTGATGAAAGAAAGATAGACCTCGATCTGCATACAAAAGACAATTTTAAAAACAGCTAACCACCTGATGATGGTGGGCTAAATATATATATGACTTCTTAAACATTTTAATTTTAGTATCATGGCTCTGCATGCACATTTACAAGACTTTTAAATTATGTTAATTGTCTTAAATTTGAACAGATTTGACCAGTGTAAACTTAAAGTAAGTCAATTATTTGAGGTTAATAGTACTTCAACTAGTTAACTTAAGAGGAAGATATTGAATTTGTATACACCAAACAGCCTATGTTGAACTCTCACCGTCAGCTCTTTATGTTGACCTGTAATTTAGTGACCTCAACACAACAAAAAACCTTGTAAAATTTTGAGTAAACAATTACGGGAAAGTGGTCCACAGATTGATCAGTAAAAATTGTGAGGTTTTGAGGACTTTCTGTAATTTTATGCCCCACGACGTGAGACTTTATCAGAAGTGAAAATCGGTGAGGTTTTGTCTCAAGCCGTGAGATCTGGCATGTATGGGATGTGCATGCATGGCTTGAATTTATAACATACTTTAGTACCAAAGTATCATAGCTCTAGACCTCATGACTATTTGGAAAATACTGTTTGAATTTTGTAACATATGTGACTCCTATAGCTAGCTATGACCATGAACGTTGGGTTATGTTATTTATTTGAGGAACTGTGCATAGAACTCTATCCCATGTACTCACTATCCAAATATCAGCACCAGGGACCTGATAGAACTTCCAAGTTCAATAGGAATTTCTTAAAACTTTTTACCCATTATATCCAAAGTTAACCTTTGATCCAAGGCACCAACGCCCAAGCTTGACCTTTGACATAAAGACAATATTCAAGAAAAAGATTTAATTACTTTGTAAGTCTATACATCATAGTCAAGAACAATGGTTCTTGACAATATATGGTTTTGAGAAAATAAAGCTTGAAATTTTAACATACTGGGAGAAAGTATCATTCCGAATTGTTGTTTGTTCCACATAGGTGTTCAACATTGATGTTCTTACCTTACATATGCAAGAGGTGGGAGAATATTCAGTCTGACAAAGAAGTGTAGGGGATGGTGTTGCAGTGTACTGGTAGGTCCATGACTCGCTGTCTTAAGACACGCACTGTGCATGATTGAGCCAGTGCACTTGCATTGAATTGTTGTTGTTGTGATATGACATATGGTAGACATGCAGTGTCAACAAGTAAAACTTTCTTATAATAAACTGTTTTGTGGTCAAATAATCACTTAATCACTGACACTACACTCTTATTTTTCAATGAACTGTTATATGCAGTCTTGGTAAAATAAAATGTTTACTTAGGGATAACGTCCCAAATAGTTCACTCCAAAAAAACATAACCCCCCAACTAGTTCGCCCCCCAAAAAACCAAACAACCCAAATAGTTTGCCCCAAAAATACATAAACTCCCCAACTAGTTCGCCCCAAAAAAATGTAACGTCCCCTTCCAAAAAAAAGGAGCTGGCTTATTTTCCCATTTTCTTAGGAATTTCTTAGTTAAATAATTATATGTGATTGTGTTTATCGTGATAAGGGGAATAACTCTTTTTTCGTGTATACTACAGAAAGGTCGGCGCATTTAGTGATATGTTTCCTTTAACGTTCGTTTTCATATGTGACTTACGGAAATGTATCATCGTATACATTCTTTCATCATACACTGATNATAATAATTAATAGAGTTCTGCCCGTTCCTGTAAATCGTCGAACCCCAGATAGAATGTGACATATAAAAGTAAATAACTGCNAATATAAAGAACATATTTCTTATAGGTATGTGTACATGTATCTTGTCATCAAACTTTGATGCCTGTAGCTATTAAACAAACGACAAAGTCATATATCGACGATGTGAAAAAAAATTGGGGCGAAATAGTTTGGGGCCTACGTCTGTAATTCGGATAGGCCTCTGTTTTAATAAAAAGCAACAAATATCATTCACTCAAAATGAAATTTCAACACAATTTACAAAATAAAGTCACTTCTATACTATATCTGATCGCACAATCCTGAATTGTTTAGGTGTTGTCAATGAACAGAATATTATCAGCAGAACATGTGCCTTTTNGTATTGGGTGGTATTGGGTAGTATTGGGTAATTAGACGCGCCCCCTTTTCACTGTTTTAGTTGTTTTCAATTACAAATAATGACAGACGAAAATAAAAAATGTAAACTGTTCGCAACAAAAAGAAAAATCATAGTAGACATCAAACGGGAGAAAATGACAATTCAAGATTCAAATTGTTTCATTACCTTCACTTTTTCACACTTGTTGACGTTTTACTTGATTTTCCACTTTCTGTTGTCCACGGTACTGTAAACAAATTACAAATAGGCCTACTAAACTCAACCGGAACGTTTCTTAATAAAAGTTAATTCTTCTTTTCTTTAAATTTTCAATTTTAGAAATTATGAATGCATGTTGATTTAATAAAAATCCTTAAAATATTTACCTTTGGTTAATGAAATATTATATTTTATGTTTGTTTTGGATAAATAGTTTGTAAATTATAGCTACCTGCAGTAGGCCTAGAACAATTTCTAGGTTTTCATCACAGGAGAGTTCCATTTTTATTTTCCTGTTGATAAATATAACTGTTGGTCATGATCATGATCATAATGACATTTTCTCTGAAAATAATGTAGCTATATAGGTTAAAACAACAGAAGGAGACAACATTATGGAATTCATCAAGGATCTGGCAGCTTCACTCCGGCGAGCCAGAACAGTTGAACTTCCACAAGGTTTACAATTTTTGTTCTTCATGATGTGTTTTTGATGAGGGTTGGCGTATAAACTGATAAAACCGGTATCACTACCTAGGTACTGGAGCACTGGCAAATCTGTCTAAATAGGTAGATTTGGCTATATAGAAAATTATGACTTTATGTTTATAACGTTAAGCGAATGTAAACAAACACACCAGCACTGATCTCGTGCACATCGATATAAGACTAAATTAAGTGTTTTATTTTTAATCATGCCGATTCATGGTATTCGACGAATCGGGTGGTACAACAGACAGTACAAGCACTGCAAATATCGCGGATAGTAGATGATAGAAGTAAAAATAGAAGTTTGATAAAGATGACAATATTTAAAAAGATATAAAATAACTGAACAATGAAAACATATATAGCCATATCCACATTAAAGCCATTTTGGTCTCTGCGGAGCATAATAATAATAATATACAACATTTATATAGCACCCTATATAATTTGTAAAATTACTCTAAGGCGCTTTACAACATATGGATAATAGTAATGGTTATAATTGTGAAAACAAACAACGAAGGCTTGCAATCACTTTCATACATTTAATTAACAAGCAATGTGCACATAATTGAACAAATAAAAGGGTGGTATTTACATGACGTCTTTGCAAAGATTCTAAAATGCAGACGTGAAGAGGTGAGTTTTTATGTCCCTCTTGAACTTGGCCAGCATAACATATAGACAGATACTGTAGATATATAGATATAGATAGAAGAAATAAAATAAAATTCAAAAGCTACATGTGTAACATACTTGTTGTTTTGACATAGTCCGCCAAACTGTAATCATGCAGCTGCGATAATTTTACAAAATATCAAATCGAGAGGAACTCTTTGATCATTTTGAAATGAAGAAAATCTTGTAATCATAATGTGGATTGATAATGAAATAAACATAGACATATTCAAGTTTGAATATCTTTAAAGTTGGTTGAGAAATAAGTATGCACACAAAATGATAATGCAGCTACAACAGGGTATCGGTTTAGATACTTTATGATACTGTCGTTAATCCTCCAATTATTTGATGTCCAGCCGACCCTGTATAAGCACAATGAGCGTGGACCGCAGCCTTATATAGCTGTCACTCGAGACATATCGTCGACAGTGCAGGTGGGATACACAGGTAAAAAGATTGCCGGGTGTGACGGGTCACTGTTCGGCGAAAAGATTGGATTTATATTATGACCATGAAGAGTTGGGGACAAATTTATGGGGTATTTGAGGAATAATGGTTCAACTTATCCAGGGTTACTTTACAAAGAATATGTACCAATTCATTCTGGACCAAACGAACTGTTCGACCAATGAGGGTATTCAAGTAAACTGAGTAAAGTGGTGTTTTACTTTATATAGCCAGATTTGCCGGTGTTTTAAGTCTTTTCGATACACTATACACTTGTGTAAAAAGATTTTCGGTACTTAACTAACGTTTCAACCTGACATTATGTTTGATGTTTGTGTTGTACATCGCACATTTATCTTTCATTTTTTTCAATGTTTTTCGTCTTTTCGCCCACTACATGAGGGTAAACCGTATTGAAACTACAGACTACTGAATCGTCTAGAGACAGCTGCGAACTACAGAATTGATTACAGGTTTCAACTGTTCAATATCGTCTTGATCATTGGCTTTCGACCAACTGTTTCATTTATCAGCATGCATCTGTTCCAAAATAGTAGTGTTGTATTTGATATGATGACATTGGTTATTATCTTGTCGGATTTACAAGATATTATGAACAATTCAAATTGTGTATTACCTGTACATATTCAGTTAAGAACTCAACACCCAGGATTGCAAGCTTCTACAAAGAAGATATGCTAAAAGCACAAAAAGTGGCTTCTGTTCTTCCATCCAGACAAATGCAAAGCCATGCAGATTGGTAAAAACGACAGCATGAACTTCATACATATTTTAGAAGATGGAAAAGAACTTCCATATACCAAAACTGAAAAAGATAATGGAGTCACTATATAGACAATAAACTATCATTCAATGTCCACAACTCTGAAAAATTAAAGCCGATTCCATCATAAGGGTGATCAGAAGAACAGCGGAATATATGGATCTCACTAAACTTACAGTGCAGAGACCACAACTTGAGTATGCTAACCAAGTCTGGATTCCGCATCTGATCAAACTCGTAGTGTCAATAGAAAACATACAAATTTAAAGGAGAGCTACCAAGCTAATACCAGGAATGGCTCATAATACCCAGATGGACTGCAACATCTGAAACTGCTAACTTTGGCCTATAGAAGAGCCAGGGGAGAAATAATAGAGCCATACAAGATCATGACTGAAAAATATGATCCTGAGGTGTCTACATTCATTTCACCTTTCAGTAGCTATAGTACAATCAAAATGATGGGCCATGAACTGAAATTATATAAACAAAGAATGTGTCTTACCATCAGGAAACATTCCTTCCTCCACCGAACCATGGACATATGGAACAGTCTGCCATCAGAGGTTGTCATGTCACAAACTGTTCCAGCATCTGAATCTGGACTTGATCACTATTGGAAGAACCAGCCACTTCTCTATAACCGCAATGAACCTATTGAGTCCATGATCATTTAATTTAACAACAAACACTCATATAACATAAATAAGAACATAGTATACCAACATTACATTTGAACTACTAACTTGTATGTACCTATAATGTAATACAAATAATTGTTAAATTATGAACTAATATCACAGAGCTGTGACATTATCAGCAATGGACTTGCAAAAATAATCATAAATCATGTTAATACCAATAATGTCAACCAACCTTTATTTATATAACAGAGCTGACAGCAGAGGAAATATAAGCATTCCTATAGTCAGAATGAAATCTGTGTATCTGTGTCTGTGTATGCACATACACTGTATATTTCTTCCAATTTTATACAACATATTTTACTGAATTTTTTATTTCATTTTTAGATGAGACATCTGCTTTTTACATGTTGATGTCTATGGTAATAGCTAATCAATACAGGTGAGTGCATTTTGGTCATTTATATCTATTAAAGTAAACTTTTGTATTTATTGGGAATTGTTTTGAATACTGGTCAATAGTTTTTTGCTCACCTGCCCTTCGGGCAAGTGATCTTGTGTCATGGGTTGGCGTCCGTCAACTTTTCCTTTAAACAACTTCTTTTGAAGAATGGACAGGCGTAGAGCCATGATATTTGACTGAATTTTCCTTGGTAGGAGCCCAACAAAGTTTGCGAATGAAAATAACCTTGACCTACTTTCAAGGTCACAGGGGTCAAATATGTCAAACACTTCAAACGATTTCTTCTGAAGAACTAAAAGGTATATAACCTTTATATTTGGCTGGTGGCTTCCTGGGATAGAGCCAAACAAAGTCTGAGAATGAAAATGACTTTGACCCGCTTTCAAGGTCACAGCAGTCAAATATGTCAAACACTTCAAACGACTTATTCAGAAGAACTAAAAAGGTGTATAACCTTCATATTTGCCTTGCGGCTTCCTGAGATAGAGCCCGACAAAATTTGAGAATGAAAATGACTTTGACCTTCTTCAAGTTTATAATCAATTAAAATATCCATATTTTTTATTTGCTTGAAGATTTGTGGCCGACAGATTTCAGTTAGGGCTTTATAGTGGTATTCAAAACTTTGCTCTAGCCCACAGTCCTATTACAGGAATGTGCCTTATACATGTACAAGTACATATCTGAATTGATATACTGCTACACCTTATATATATTTTCAATGAAACAAAATCACAGGAAGGTAATGAAAGCATCCAACTTCCTTGAGTTTCTTTTGTTGTGGTTCAGTCATGATAATAATCATTCATGTGTGAAATGATTTAGTAAGGTATGTAAATTTCATGTATTTCAGATCAGTGTCCGATCTGCTGGGCGATTCTAAGTACAATGTCAATTACCACCATGGGAGAGCCAACAGGAACCTCCTACACATAGCAGCCAAGTACGTGTAATATTTAACAGAGATTTTAACACGGCCTCGATATCACATAATAAAAATTTAAACAAACGCAACATCGTACATAATGGATATTTTTTATTTTGCTTTACTGGGGGCTGCTTTTCCCCCCAAAAATATGCTTTTCACCTCAGAAAAAAATCACATGTTACAAAATACAAGATCCAAACAGACATTCCTGCAGGATATTAAAACTTACCTTCACATACACTGTATTGCTTTAGTCTTCTCAACAACTTTTTGCACATTCCAGCGTAGTGAAACATTCTATTGATATCTTTATGTCTTAGGTGAGATACCTGCGGAATGCAATGCTAATCACTGCAGTCTCCTGGGAAATCCCCGTGTTATCATACTATTTCTTGAGATCTTTGCAGGTTGATGTTTATCATATTATTTCTGGAGATCTTTGCAGGTTGATGTTTATCATATTATTTCTGGAGATCTTTGCAGGTTGATGTTTTTCATATTATTTCTGGATATCGTTGCAGGTTGATGTTTATCGTATTATTTCTGGAGATCTTTGCTGGTTGATGTTTATCATATTATTTCTGGAGATCTTTGCAGGTTGATGTTTATCATATTATATCTGGAGATCTTTGCAGGTTGATGTAATCTAGTACAAGGAGAATAGGACTAGTTGTCCAGAACAGATAGTATCTTGTGCTTCATTGATGATGCCACCATGTCATTCTAGGTCAAATCCAAGTAATGTCACACCCTCAAAGTGAGGACCAAGTAGTGACATCAAAACCAAATGACACAACTATGAGCATAAGCAAACAAATAAAAATCAACACTCATGTCTTGTAAGGAAAAGAAATATTCCTCAATAGCTATTCCTCAATGAGGTCATGATGGCAACCATAACACTTGTCCACAGTCTTTTTCAACCAGCATCCCTCTAAACCTTGTGTTGTAAATTTGTCCATCAGTATTGTCCATACAGAAATTATGAGCAGGCCTGTACATGTTGAATCAACTGTGACATGTAAACACTAGGTTGGGGAAACAGGAATGTTGCTATCGAGAAGTGGAAAGTTCATAATTGGAAAATCAAAATGTCATGCTTATCATATGATACGGTTGAGAGGAAAGCTAATTCTGAAGATTCTGTTTACATAGTGACCTTGATTTCAGATTGGGAAAGGTAAGTGCGATTGATGTATATTTCCTTGGAGATCTTATCCAAATATATAGGTAAATAGAATCTGAGGAGATCCTGTCAGGCTTCTGTTATGCATTAACAAAAGTTAAAGCTATTGTGTAAGTATAGAATGATGATACAACAAGTAGAAGTAAATTGGGACTTAAATTTCTGTTTTAAGATTACTATAATGAAAGGTATTTTGGTGCACTATATCACCTATTTGTGAGATGTTTATTTTTAAATCAGTGCTCACATGTACAGAAAATGTCGGTGATAGTGTAAGTGTTCATAGAAATAACATGATGGGCACTATATGTTTTACTCGCACTAGGCTGCATCTCTCTACCACCTAGTAGCTATACCTTTTTGTCTGTTGTCTAGACCTGTCTCTGTGTTTTTATATGTTGTGTGATTTAGAAAGTTCGCTTTCTTAGAGTTTAAGAGATCGATGTTAAAATAATCATGTAAAAATGAAGAAAATATTTCTTTTGTTTACTAGGTATGGCAGTAATTTGTAAGGTACAATGTAATATAAAGAGTCGACACATGTACAGTGGACTTGTAATTGGAGGCTGAATTATTGATCAGCTGATGCATTCTCCCTAGTACGAGTACACATGATTACATTGATAGGTGTGACGCAGATCGTTAATATTTAATGTCCCTGAACCGGTTGACTACAAAATTACCTACACTACTACTTCTACAAAATTACCTACACTACTACTTATAGAATGGAGTAATGAGCTACAAGACAATAGAATACATAGTTCACAATCTATATTCTTTATAGTTTTTTCTCTTGTCATGTAAAGCTTATAAATTGTATACATTTACACACAATCAGTAACCATTTTGTTGTACATTGTAAATAACTTTTAGATCAGTATCTTTTTTGTGATTGGACATGCATTATTTATAGATATTTACGAGATTTTTAGTTGAGGGAGGTTATATGAATCACTTTGTCAGTGGGTCTGTATGCCTGTCAAAAGCTTATGGGAAAGATATCTCATGAATACCTTCAACAGATTGAGTTTATATTTACACATTAGTATGGTAACATCAATTTCTATACATGACTAAATTTTGGTAGGCATTGGTCAAGGTAAAAATATCAAAGACCAAAGATCATACATCATGACCCCTGGATTCAAGATATTTAGTTAATATACCATAAATAGTACAGCAATCTTGAGTTCTATATCTGTTTAGATTTTAATTGTAATAGGTCGCATTCAAAGGTCATACTTAACTATTTTTAATGTAAAATCCTTGTGTGCATATGATATCAGGAAGATGGGGAGAAGGTTTTATGTAAGCCCTCATTCAGCTAGAATTTTTACCTTTCATTAATAATAGATAGTTAAGTTTTAAAACATCAAATGAGAAGTTCCATTGAGATCACTTGTCTTCAAATATTAAAAGTCAGCTTCAGTAAAAATAAGTTCAGTTGAGATCACTAGCCTACGCAAGTATTTCAGCTTCAGTAAAAAATATAATTAGTTCACTTAAGATCACTAGCCTACACAAATAGATGACAGCTTCAGTTAAAGTCATTTAAGGTCACTAGCCTACCCAAGTAGATGACAGCTTCAGTTAAAGACACTTGAGGTCATAAGCCTACCCAAGTAGATGACAGCTTCAGTTAAAGACACTTGAGGTCATTAGCCTACCCAAGTAGATGACAGCTTCAGTTAAAGACACTTGAGGTCATTAGCCTACCCAAGTAGATGACAGCTTCAGTTAAAGACACTTGAGGTCATTAGCCTACCCAGGTAGATGACAGCTTCAGTTAAAGACACTTGAGGTCATTAGCCTACCCAGGTAGATGACAGCTTCAGTTAAAGACACTTGAGGTCATTAGCCTACCCAGGTAGATGACAGCTTCAGTTAAAGACACTTGAGGTCATTAGCCTACCCAGGTAGATGACAGCTTCAGTTAAAGACACTTGAGGTCATTAGCCTACCCAGGTAGATGACAGCTTCAGTTAAAGACACTTGAGGTCATTAGCCTACCCAGGTAGATGACAGCTTCAGTTAAAGACACTTGAGGTCATTAGCCTACCCAGGTAGATGACAGCTTCAGTTAAAGACACTTGAGGTCATTAGCCTACCCAGGTAGATGACAGCTTCAGTTAAAGACACTTGAGGTCATTAGCCTACCCAGGTAGATGACAGCTTCAGTTAAAGACACTTGAGGTCATTAGCCTACCTAGGTAGATGACAGCTTCAGTTAAAGACACTTGAGGTCATTAGCCTACCCATGTAGATGACAGCTTCAGTTAAAGACACTTGAGGTCATTAGCCTACCCAGGTAGATGACAGCTTCAGTTAAAGACACTTGAGGTCATTAGCCTACCCAGGTAGATGACAGCTTCAGTTAAAGACACTTGAGGTCATTAGCCTACCCAGGTAGATGACAGCTTCAGTTAAAGACACTTGAGGTCATTAGCCTACCCAGGTAGATGACAGCTTCAGTTAAAGACACTTGAGGTCATTAGCCTACCCAGGTAGATGACAGCTTCAGTTAAAGACACTTGAGGTCATTAGCCTACCCAGGTAGATGACAGCTTCAGTTAAAGACACTTGAGGTCATTAGCCTACCCAGGTAGATGACAGCTTCAGTTAAAGACACTTGAGGTCATTAGCCTACCCAGGTAGATGACAGCTTCAGTTAAAGACACTTGAGGTCATTAGCCTACCCAGGTAGATGACAGCTTCAGTTAAAGACACTTGAGGTCATTAGCCTACCCAGGTAGATGACAGCTTCAGTTAAAGACACTTGAGGTCATTAGCCTACCCAGGTAGATGACAGCTTCAGTTAAAGACACTTGAGGTCATTAGCCTACCCAGGTAGATGACAGCTTCAGTTAAAGACACTTGAGGTCATTAGCCTACCCAGGTAGATGACAGCTTCAGTTAAAGACACTTGAGGTCATTAGCCTACCCAGGTAGATGACAGCTTCAGTTAAAGACACTTGAGGTCATTAGCCTACCCAGGTAGATGACAGCTTCAGTTAAAGACACTTGAGGTCATTAGCCTACCCAGGTAGATGACAGCTTCAGTTAAAGACACTTGAGGTCATTAGCCTACCCAGGTAGATGACAGCTTCAGTTAAAGACACTTGAGGTCATTAGCCTACCCAGGTAGATGACAGCTTCAGTTAAAGACACTTGAGGTCATTAGCCTACCCAGGTAGATGACAGCTTCAGTTAAAGACACTTGAGGTCATTAGCCTACCCAGGTAGATGACAGCTTCAGTTAAAGACACTTGAGGTCATTAGCCTACCCAGGTAGATGACAGCTTCAGTTAAAGACACTTGAGGTCATTAGCCTACCCAGGTAGATGACAGCTTCAGTTAAAGACACTTGAGGTCATTAGCCTACCCAGGTAGATGACAGCTTCAGTTAAAGACACTTGAGGTCATTAGCCTACCCAGGTAGATGACAGCTTCAGTTAAAGACACTTGAGGTCATTAGCCTACCCAGGTAGATGACAGCTTCAGTTAAAGACACTTGAGGTCATTAGCCTACCCAGGTAGATGACAGCTTCAGTTAAAGACACTTGAGGTCATTAGCCTACCCAGGTAGATGACAGCTTCAGTTAAAGACACTTGAGGTCATTAGCCTACCCAGGTAGATGACAGCTTCAGTTAAAGACACTTGAGGTCATTAGCCTACCCAGGTAGATGACAGCTTCAGTTAAAGACACTTGAGGTCATTAGCCTACCCAGTTAGATTTCAGAAATAGATATGCATGTAATCAACCACAATGGATTGAATTGAACAGTCTCCAGTAATCGTGTCAATCAGCTGTAATTGATCAAGTGTTACCTCCCATGATATGATCCATCGGGACGACAGGAACTTATTACAATAATGTACCTGTATAGAATATACCAACAATCATCATTTAACCGGCCCTTACTAGGTCAAGTACTGGGCATGTTTGTGTGTTGTTTACAGTTGTGTGTCATATGAAAGTGTTTGTACTGATTCATGCTTGTGTTTTGTTAACAGTTGTGAGTTGTACAACTGTCATTGTATGTACATGTTTGTGTTTTGTTAACAGTTGTGAGTTGTACGACTGTCTTTGTATGTACATGCTTGTGTTTTGTTAACAGTTCTGAGTTGTACAAGTGTCTTTGTATGTACATGCTTGTGTTTTGTTAACATTCATGAGTTGCACAAGTGTCTTTGTATGTACATGCTTGTGTTTTGTTAACAGTTGTGAGTTGTACAAGTGTCTTTGTATGTACATGTTTGTGTTTTGTTAACAGTTGTGAGTTGTACAAGTCTCTTTGTATGTACATGTTTGTGTGGTGTTAACAGTTGTGAGTTGTACAAGTGGCTTTGTATGTACATGTTTGTGTGTTACCGTTTTGAGTTGTACGACTGTCATTGTATGTACAGGTTTGTGTGTAACAGTTTTGAGTTGTACGAGTGTCTTTGTATGTACAGGTTTGTGTGTTACAGTTGTGAGTTGTCCAAGTGTCTTTGTATGTACATGTTTGTGTGTTACAGTTTTGAGTTGTACGACTGTCATTGTATGTACATGTTTGTGTGTAACAGTTTTGAGTTGTACGACTGTCTTTGTATGTACATGTTTGTGTGATGTTAACAGTTGTGAGTTGTACAAGTGTCTTTGTATGTACATGTTTGTGTGGTGTTAACAGTTGTGAGTTGTACAAGTGTCTTTGTATGTACATGTTTGTGTGTTACAGTTGTGGGTCTTACGAGTGTTTACACCTGCTGATGAAGAAAGGTGCTGATGTCAACCACAAGGACATGTCTGGGTGTACTGCTCTACATCTAGCTGCCAGGAATGGGTAAATATAGACTATCAAATCACAATATAGACTATCAAATCACTTCTATTCCTTCCCATTCCACAAGACCCTACTTTACAGTAAATTGGGGGGGGGGGGGGGGGGGGGGGGGGGGGAGAGATGTAGTATACTGGAATCAGGTTGTCTGTCTGTCTGTCTGTCTGTCTGTCTGTAGCACATATACAGTATCATTTGCACTACTCCTTCCCAAAGTGATTTTTTTATTCAAGTGCCTTGATGCACAGAACCCCCTTACATCAAGGGAATATGAAGAAGGTATATAAATTGGAGTTACTTCAACAATTTATGGAGTTATTCCCCTGTATGAACAGGGATATGAACGATACTTGATATTAATATACATAACACAGCTGGCAGATGGTTCCAAATATCAACAGTTTTCTGTGGGATAGAATGCTTTCTGACATTCAAATTGTGACTTGAATATCTTTAAATTATGCCCATTTATTCCATATACATGGAAATTATCACATGGAGGTACTAAATTTATTTTCTTATTCCGAATAACAGCAATTAAAAGCTAGTACATGCTGTGTATTCTAAAGTAACACAAAGCACACCATGTGCTCCCATGAGAGAATTTACTATGTGCTGATCTAGATTAATGGATATTCATCTATAGCAGCTGATTTGGTAAATGCCTAGCTATGCATAGGGAATGGTGCAGCTCCCCATGAGAAATCGAATTGAAAGTCAATAAAAACGTTTTTATTTGGAGTATTTCTTCGAATTCCTTTTGTATTATTTCATTTTCTTCATGATTTTTAGACAGAGGAAATGTATCATGAAGCTACTTGAGTACAAAGCAGATGTCAACATTCGTAACAATGAAGGACTAACCACAGTAAGTATAGAAGACTGGGGGACTTACAGCGAAAACATCCAGATTAACAGTAACGCTGAGGGACTTACAGCTAAAACATCTAGATTCACAGTAAAACTAGGGGACTTACAGTGAAAACATCCAGATTCACAGTAATGATTAGGGACTAACAGCAAAAACATCCAGATTCACAGTAATGCTTAGGGACTTACAGCAAAAACATCCAGATTAACAGTAACGCTGAGGGACTTACAGCTAAAACATCCAGATTCACAGTAAATCTAGGGGACTTACGGCGAAAACATCCAGATTAACAGTAACGCTGAGGGACTTACAGTGAAAACATTCTGATTCACAGTAATGCTGAGGGACTTACAGCTGAAACATTCAGATTCACAGTAATGCTAAGGGACTTACAGCGAAAACATTCAGATTCACAGTAATGCTTAGGGACTTACAGCTAAAAAATTCAGATTCACAGTAATGCTGAGGGACCTACAGCTTAAAAAATCCAGATTCACAGTAATGCTTAGGGACTTACAGTTCAAACATTCAGATTCACAGTAATGCTTAGGGACTTACAGTTAAAACATTCAAATTCACAGTAATGCTGAGGGACTTACAGCTAAAACATCCAGATTCACAGTAAAACTAGTGGACTTACAGCGAAAACATCCAGATTCACAGTAATGCTTAGGGGCTTACAGCAAAAACATCCAGATTAACAGTAACGCTGAGGGACTTACAGCTAAAACATCTAGCTTCACAGTAAAACTAGGGGACTTACAGTGAAAACATCCAGATTCACAGTAATGATGAGGGACTAACAGCAAAAACATCCAGATTCACAGTTATGCTTAGGGACTTACAGCGAAAACATCCAGATTCACAGTAATGCTTAGGGACTTACAGCGAAAACATCCAGATGAACAGTAACGCTGAGGGACTTACAGCTAAAACATCCAGATTCACAGTAAAACTAGGGGGCTTACAGTGAAAACATCCAGATTAACAGTAATGATTAGGGACTAACAGCGAAAACATCCAGATTCACAGTAATGCTGAGGTACTTACAGCAAAAACATCCAGATTAACAGTAATGATTAGGGACTAACAGCGAAAACATCCAGATTCACAGTAATGCTTAGGGACGTACAGCGAAAACATCCAGATTAACAGTAATGCTGAGGGACTTACAGCTAAAACATCCAGATTCACAGTAAAACTAGGGGACTTACAGCGAAAACATCCAGATTAACAGTAATGATTAGGGACTTACAGCTAAAACATCCAGATTCACAGTAAAACTAGGGGACTTACAGTGGAAACATCCAGATTAACAGTAATGATTAGGGACTAACAGTGAAAACATCCAGATTCACAGTAATGCTAAGGGACCTACAGCAAAAAAATCCAGATTCACAGTAATGCTGAGGGACTTACAGCTAAAAAATTCAGATTCAAAGTAATGCTGAGGGACTTACAGCGAAAACATTCAGATTCACAGTAATGCTTAGGGACTAACAGCGAAAACATTCAGATTCACAGTAATGCTTAGGGACTTACAGCTAAAACATCCAGATTCACAGTAAAACTAGGGGACTTACAGCAAAAACATCCAGATTAACAGTAATGATTAGGGACTAACAGTGAAAACATCCAGATTCACAGTAATGCTAAGGGACCTACAGCAAAAAAAATCCAGATTCACAGTAATGCTGAGGGACTTACAGCGAAAACAGTAAGATTCACATTAATGCTGAGGGATTTACAGCTAAAACATTCAGATTCACAGTAATGCTGAGGGACTTACAGCGAAAACAGTAAGATTCACATTAATGCTGAGGGATTTACAGCTAAAACATTCAGATTCACAGTAATGCTTAGGGACTAACAGTTAAAACATCCAGATTCACAGTAATGCTTAGGGTCTTACAGTTCAAACATTCAGATTCACAATAATGCTTAGGGACTTACAGCTAAAAATTCCAGATTCACAGTAATGCTGAGGGACTTACAGCTAAAAAATTCAGATTCACAGTAATGCTGAGGGATTTACAGCTAAAAAATTTAGATTCACAGTAATGCTTAGGGACTAACAGCGAAAACATTCAGATTCACAGTAATGCTTAGGAACTTACAGTTCAAACATTCAGATTTACAATAATGCTTAGGGACTTACAGTTCAAACATTCAGATTCACAGTAATGCTTAGGGACTAACAGTTAAAACATTCAGATTCACAGTAATGCTGAGGGACTTACAGTTAAAACATTCAGATTCAAAGTAATACTGAGAGACTAACAGTTAAAACATTCAGATTCAAAGTAATGCTTAGGGACTTACAGTTAAAACATTCAGATTCAAAGTAATGCTTAGGGACTTACAGTTAAAACATTCAGATTCAAAGTAATGCTTAGGGACTAACAGTTAAAACATTCAGATTCAAAGTAATGCTTAGGGACTTACAGTTAAAACATTCAGATTCAAAGTAATGCTTATGAACTTTTAATTGCCTTATTTATAAATATATGTATACAGTTATTAATTCAGACAATCAAAATGGTAATTCAACACATTGACTACAAACTGAAATTTTGATGGCTGTTTAATTATTTGTCCCGAGCATATCCTGTTAAATTTCTCTATGCACAAAGTGTAATCTAACCAGACTGTTTTATACATTCGGGTCATTTTAACATTATATTTTTAGATCCACTGGCAAGCTGTCAATGGTAGGACTGATCTAATACATTCGGGTCATTTTAACATTATCTTTTTAGATCCACTGGCAAGCTGTCAATGGTAGGACTGACCTAATACATTCTGGTCATTTTAACATTGTATGTTTAGATCCACTGGCTAGCTGTCAATGGTAGGACTGAACTAATACATTCTGGTCATTTTAACATCGTATTTTTAGATCCACTGGCTAGCTGTCAATGGGAGGACTGAACTAATACATTCTGGTCATTTTAACATCGTATTTTTAGATCCACTGGCTAGCTGTCAATGGTAGGACTGATCTAATACATTCGGGTCATTTTAACATTGTATGTTTAGATCCACTGGCTAGCTGTCAATGGTAGGACTGATCTAATACATTCGGGTCATTTTAACATTGTATGTTTAGATCCACTTGCAAGCTGTCAATGGTAGGACTGATCTAATACATTCGGGTCATTTTAACATTGTATGTTTAGATCCACTGGCTAGCTGTCAATGGTAGGACTGATCTAATACATTCTGGTCATTTTTACATTGTATTTTTAGATCCACTGGCTAGCTGTCAATGGGAGGACTGAACTAATACATTCTGGTCATTTTAACATTGTATTTTTAGAGCCACTGGCTAGCTGTCAATGGTAGGACTGAACTAATACATTCTGGTCATTTTAACATTTTATTTTTAGATCCACTGGCAAGCTGTCAATGGTAGGGCTGACCTAATACATTCTGGTCATTTTAACATTGTATGTTTAGATCCACTGCAAGCTGTCAATGGTAGGACTGATCTAATACATTCTGGTCATTTTTACATTGTATTTTTAGATCCACTGGCTAGCTGTCAATGGGAGGACTGATCTAATACATTCTGGTCATTTTAACATTGTATGTTTAGATCCACTGGCTAGCTGTCAATGGTAGGACTGAACTAATACATTCTGGTCATTTTAACATTTTATTTTTAGATCCACTGGCAAGCTGTCAATGGTAGGGCTGATCTAATACATTCTGGTCATTTTAACATTGTATGTTTAGATCCAATGGCAAGCTGTCAATGGTAGGACTGATCTAATACATTCGGGACATTTTAACATTGTATTTTTAGATCCACTGGCTAGCTGTCAATGGTAGGACTGAACTACTACATGATATCTTCACTTATGTCCAAGATGTAGACGTAGAGGTATGTTGTACAATCATTGCTTTCTTGAAATTATGTTACATGGTATCTAGCAGATTATGCAAAGAAAGATAACTCTGGCTTTTTGTTGATTATTCTACTTTTTGATAAATATTAAACAAAATTAATTTACCTAAAGTACAATACTATTGTAGCAATGTATGCTCAGCTACAAAATGGAATTATCAGCAACATTGATTATTTAATTACAATTTTATTTTTTCCTTCACCAGGATGCTCAAGGACAGACAGCTTTACATGTAGCTTGTCAAAATGGCCACAAGTCTGTAAGTACAGTGTCATGTCTTGTGATATTTCTAAATAATTTCTACAGGTTAGTAAATATAGATTGTATCATTGAAATGTAAGCATTTCACTAAATGTGCTGTATGAACATGAAAAAAGTCATGTTCTTGTTGTGTATTTAAAATACTGTAGCTGTAACGTTAGATTAAAATTATATGCCAAGTGTTTCTCTTATATATTTATGTATAAAATGTGTGATTTCACTTTTGTATGGTATTATTGTGCGACTTTCTATCTAAACAGACAGTACTGTGTCTACTGGACCATGGGGCTGACGTCAACAGACCAAATCACTATGGCTGGGTGCCATTACACTTTGCATGCAGGTGATGTACCAGTATTTTCTGTTGTGTGCCCATATAACTAAATTTAATGAAAACATTGCAAGAAATGAAAGAATCAAAAATGTTAAAGGGATTGTGAAATCAAGAATCTATTTGCCATGCAGGTGAGTTTTTTTCAGTTGTGTACCTGTATAATTAAGAAAAACATTGCAAGAAAACAAATGAATTAGAAGCAATCAAACATTAAAGTTAAGTGTTATTTATACCTATTTCAGTCACGGGCAGCATGACACGGCTAACATCTTATTAAATAAAGGTGCAAAGTTTGTCCCCAACAGAAGTAACAAAACTCCCATGGACCTAAGTGTGGAGGTATGTAGTCTAACATCAAATTTAAAAAGTGGGATTTCATCTTTTTTTTAAACTTTTCATTGAAGCTTTGTGCATCTGTTCTAAATGTGTGGTAGGGCAACTATGGTGAGACATGAAAGGACACATATAGACCACTCTTATATATGTTGTAGGGCGGCTATAGTGAGACATGTTACATATTGCTTCAATACATGCCCAAGTTGTTTGATCAGCTAATCAGTATGGTTAGAAAGGAGACCCTCAAGGAAGCATTGGTATGTATTATCGGAAATACACTACAGCTTTTTATTTCTTTGCTGTACTTGACAAACGTTTTTTTCTAATATATATTGGAAATTTTGAAAGCTGTTAAATACTTAGCATTTGTATGTACATGTATCAATTGGAATTCATGTAAATGTCTTAGAAACAATAAAATTTCTAACTTTAAAAGTCATTGCAATTCTAAGAATAATATTAAGCATTTACTAACAGGAAGGTTTTGATTTGTTTCAGTATACAAAAGTTTTGTTATTCCTAATTGACAAAAACCGAGTTATGGCTGATAAGGTGTTGATCCAGCTATCAAAGGAAGCCTCATCTATAGGTCACAGCCTTCTCAGGTAAATATACAGGTCACGACCTCCTCAGGTAAATATACAGGTCACGACCTCCTCAGGTAAATATACAGGAGATAACCTCCTTAGGTAAGTATATTTGTCATAGCCTCCCCAGTTAAATTATATACCGGTCATGACCTCAGGTAAATTTTCAGGTCATGACCTCCTCAGCTAAATACACAGGTGATAATCTCTCTTCAGGTAAATATACAGGTCACGATCTCCTCAAGTAAATATACAGGTCACGACCTCCTCAGGTAAATATACAGGTAAAGACCTCCTCCCTTAAATATAGAGGTCACAACCTACTCAGTTAAATATACAGATCAAGACGCTCTCAGCAAATAAAAAGGTCATAAATTCCATATATATTTTACAAAGGCTTTAGCCCGAGTATGGTGACAAATACATTGTAAAGAACTGGTATGCTTCATGGTATTTGTCATGTTCTAGTTCCATTATAAAGAAGTGGTATGCTTCATGATATTTGTTATGTTCTAGTTCCATTGTAAAGAACTATTATGCTTCATGGTATTTGCCATGTTCTAGTTCCATTGTACAGAACTGGTATGCTTCATGGTATTTGTCATGGTCTAGTTCCATTGTAAAGAACTATTATGCTTCATGGTATTTGTCATGTTTTAGTTCCATTATAAAGAACTGGTATGCTTCATGGTATTTGTCATGTTCTAGTTCCATTGTAAAGAACTGGTATGCTTCATGGTATTTGTCATGTTCTAGTTCCATTGTA